ACACACCACTGTTACTGAGCAAGTGAGAGCACCTCCAGCAGCTGAACTCCCCCAAACACATCAAAAGCAACACTTTTGACACCTTAAAAAGGTTGTAAGATTCACACATGCACTAGGGCGACAGAACATCACTGAAGATCTAATTTAGACTAACACTGAAGTAATAAGGACTGCTAATTTTATGGGCAGGCAGCCTAAAACATTTATTTGGAAGCTAGCAGTCCCTGGAGGAATTTCTATGTTAGTAATAAGTCAAACCTGAATGCCCCAAAACATGATAATTAAAGGGCAGAACAAATCCTTTAAGAGAAAATAACCATAGTTACAAATGCATGGTAATGAGTCATGTTAAAAGAAAAACAAAATATTTCCAGTATGTGAGCCAGATGACTGCTGGACCACATCAGTTTATGGTAAAACACAAGAACAGATTTTTAAACATTTTAAGATAAGCTCTTCAAAAGACAGCACTATCCTGGGCCAACACATTAATCTAATGGTAACATAAAGACATATCTTTCCATGAAATCTAAATTTAAGATCCATGCATTATTCCTGCACTAACTTCTGCACCACAGCTCCAGGCATTTGACATCCCTGAAGTTAATTCCTCCATCAATTCCAGGTTTCTTTCAATAAAAGGCACCAAACCCTCCTGTGTTTACACAGCCAGGTTGAACACTAGAACTCATTAGGAAGAGCAATAAACAAATCAACAGGAAGCACAGCCAGCTGGAAGGATTATGGAAGTTCCCAGTAGAAATCCAACACGTAGGAAGATGAGACAGCAAAGTGGGAGCCTCAGAATTACTGCCTTGTCTTGGAGCTGAGCACGAGATGACATCTTCCCAGATGGATACACAGCTATCCTCCCCACCAAGAGGTAGGTAATATTATAATTATGCAATAATATAACACAGAGTTTATAAAAGTCAATTGATAGGCTCCTGAAGTTAGCAAAAATGCCTAATAATATATACTAGGAATACAAATTAGTAATAAGCAGATATAATATAGAATAGTTCAATGAACTTTTCAAATTTGATTTTTGTGTACAGAGGAAACAGTTCTGTTTGACTTTTTATATTAAGCTGTGGACGTGGCAGCACTGGGGTAATGGCTGGACTCAATCTTAAAGGTCTTTTCCAATCTGAATGATTTTATGACTCTACTCTGGTCTCCCTCTGTTAGCCACTTGTCTCTTCTTCACAGTCTCCGACTTTTAAATCTTTCCCAGTTGGGGTTTCTGTACTTCTCCACTTTCAGAACTGATGCTCACAGACATCACAGATTCTCACAGAAAATCCCCTCCCCACCTCCTCTCCTGTGCCCTCAGTGCTGGGGACAGTGACCCACACACCCCAAATTCCCCAGAGCAAAGGTGGCTGTGGCTGCACCTCTGGACATCCCCTTTCCCTGCAGGGCTGGACAATCCCAGCCCCTGCTGCCCAGGCCTCCTTCTCTACAGGTCCAAATCTTATTGACAACACTCACAGGAGATGAGGGACTTAGCAGCAGAACTACAAATACAAACAGCTTGAATTCTGAGCTACCAGTGAAGCTGGTTAACATAATGTAATACTTAAATATGCTCTTATAAACCACAGGAGGGATTCAGCAGTAGATGGTACTATTAATATAAATATTATTTAACAGAACCCTTGAGAGACACAGAATGTAGAAGTAGAGGGGTCAGCTGAATAAGATTAGCTGAAAAAACATGTATTTATAATCGTCATCCATTTTAAACTAAATGCTAGCAGGGAAATTCATTCTGTAGTCAGTTACGCAAGAAAGGCTGCTAAAAAATCATTCTTAAAATCAAGTATGCTGAAAACCTTCACCCATCTAGCACACACAGTGGAGATGCCAGGAAAACGTACCTCACAAACACAGGATGGGAAATCACCTACCTACAGGCCCTGGTCTAGAGGAAAAAAAACCTGGAAGGATTATTTCATAGGAAGAAAGTCTTCACTGTGAGGGTGCCCAGAGAAGCTGTGGCTGCCCCTGGGTCCCTGGAAGTGTCCAAGGCCAAGCTGGATGGGGTTTGGAGCATTCTGGAATAGTGGAAGGTGTCCCTGCCCATGGCAGGGGGTGGCACTAGATGATCTTTAAGGTCCCTTCTGACCAAAATAATTTTATGACTCCACAATCCCATTCCTAACTCCAGAAACCTCTAAGTTATGAACCACACTGCTGCAATCCACGGGAACATTGCTTTATGCAGTGCTGAGAGCCTAGGATGGATTCTGCCCATCCCTGTGCTTTGGATACCTGGTGGCAGTGATGGGCAGAAGGAAACAAAACACTCATCAGGGATGGAAAGCTGACCTCAGGAGTCTGACTGAACTGGATAAAGACAGAACCTCCCTACTGCTGTCCTTTCCTGCTGGAATTTCTGCTCTTGCAGATTCTTTCCTTGCATATCCAGAATCAACAAACCACAAAGATAACCCAGCACTCAGGAATGAGGCAAAGTCTCCTTCTGCTGCAGGAAACGCAGAAAAACAACTGAAGAAAACAGACAAATCATGAATGCCACTCGCAGGGAAAGGACAGACTTAGTCACCTCATTTCTGTTTCCTGCAAGGCAGCAGCAGCCCGAAAACAAGTCCTAGGATGGACAGACTGCAGGCACAACCATGAAGGAACATTTCAAGGGAAAAGATGTGAACTAGGAAAGAATCACTGCAATCTCTTTCAAAAACATGATGCACATCTGTCCACGTTACCAGAAAGAACAATGAACAGCAGAACAACATTGTTTAATATCTTTACAAAGATTTGTGTATCAAATATGAAAACTAAATAAGCCAAGCACAGCTTGCCCAGGAGAAATGTTGCAGGCCAGAAGAGGCGTCACTTTATACGTAACATTAGAGCTATACAATAATTAATGTTGACACAGCTACCAAAGAGACTTCATGTGAAAGTCTCAGAGCTGACTTACAGTTTTCATCTAGTCAGGGAGATTTTTCTGAAGTAGCAGAATTAGGAAAAAAACCAAATTGCAATCCTTGTCTGCCAGGAATTGCATGCACATCACAAACCTGTGCTCCAAAGCAGACTTTACTTTGGGTAAATACAATTTTTTCATGGAAACTGATCTCACAAGAAACTGCCAGAAGATCCATTAGCACTTTATCAGCCCAAAGCATCAGGAACAGAATTAAACCTCTTCATGATATAGGAGTACCTTGTAATTGCAAGAGAGAACATCAACAAAATGGATAAATACAACCAGATATATCCTACAGAGAACTTGACCAGGAGAACATGAGACATGACAAATTATGTTTATAGTATTTACCTGATCCAGGCAACCAGGAGAATAATCTTCCGTAAACCTTCCCAGAGTAACTTTACCCACAGGAACATAAAAATTTGCTTCAGAGGAAAAGGCTACAAGGGCTTGTTTTTGAAACCAGAGGTCTTTAAACAACCAGTGATTGCACTGTATCCTGGAAAGGCTGAAGGGCACAAAAAGGCTGAAAAATGGAGCAATGAGAGCTCCAATTCGGAGCCTGAAATCTGCTGCAGGAATCACACTGCACATCTGCTTGCAGCAGTGGAGGGCTGGATCCTGCCACCCAGGCTGCACAACGAGCATCTATTTTCCATGCTTCTGTAATTGAAAGAGTGCTCTGACAGATGCTGCTCTCCCATCACAATGCTGGAGGCCTGGGTTAACCTATCAAACATCCCTACCAGCATTTTTCCCCCACTGTATTACACAATTTTGGGCTCCAGTACAAATTATTGCTGCTTATAGATGTGACTCATTCGCTGCTGAAGTAATACTGCTTTTGAGGAATTCAGTTTTATTCAATAAATAAATAGCATTTCAGCTCACAATTCCTGGTTACTTCTCCACAGTCACCATCTCTGCTTTTTTTGTCTCCAATATTCAGCAAGGACTTTCCAATGAATGTCAGTACTTCCATTAACAAGGACTGGGAGAACAGAGGTCCCCACTCAAATCCCACTGAAATAGTACAGCTGAGCTCTGCCCTGCTTAACTCCTTTTAACATCAACACCAGCAATACATGAAACCTGCAGTTCCTTGAAAACCAAAAAGAAAGCCTTTTCCTAAGTCACAAAAACACAAAGAAAAATAAAATGTCAACCCCCCCCCAAAAACCCCCAATATTATCTTATGATTACTAATAAATAAAAATAAACCAAATAAAACTAACCACAAAAGAACCCCAAAAAAATACCAAAAAAACAACCAAGAACAAAAAAAAAACCAAAAAAAAACAAAAATAAAAAAACAAAAAAAAAAAAAAAAAAAAGGACAAATAAAAAGAAAAACCAAACTCAAAACAACAACCAAACAAAACCAAAACAAAGAAAACCCACAACATATAGCTGTGCTATAGTACAGGCTGATCAGAAGAGCAGATACAGTCAGTGCTAGTGAAATTTTGTACATTTAATCACTCCAACCTTAGTGTCAACATCAAACAGATTTAAACCAAATTTAAGCGTATTTACATTCAAAATACTGATTTTTTTTTTTTTTTTTTTTAGATCAATATTGATTTAAAACCGTCTGGATTACCAAAGGCAGACAGGGCCAACAATCCAAACGTTAAAGCTGTTTTATGGCAAAGGTGCACAACCCCCTGCCAGAATTAGTCGTGGCTCCGGGACAACAACCTTTGGAGAAGCAACTTATCCCATAATGCTGGATCCACTGTTTGGCTTCCAGTTTATCCAAACCACCCACGGACAGAGATGAGGAGTGAGGAGCAGCAAGGAGATGCTCTGCCTGGAACAGCGGCTCCAGGAGGAAGGTGGGCTCTAGGAGCTGCCAGGGACTCCATGCAGGGAGCCCACACGGCGCTGCGGGTCTCCTCCGGCAGAGGGCAACGCTGGAAAAATCGCCTGGGAAAGGAGCGGAGTATTCCACGGAAAGGAGGCACCGCAGCCTCGCAGCGCCGCCGAGGCTGCTCCGCCGCACGGCTCTCCTGTGCACAGCGGAAAACTGTACCTGCTGCTTCCCACCTTCGGAATCCTGCTTCTGTCCATGGGATCACCGCAATCCCGACCGCTCCAGGGTCCTGGAGCACCGCCACGGAGGCAGAGAAATTAGGATGTAAGGATCTCCCAAGAGCTACGGATGATCCGTCAATAGCCGGCAGATGTTGACAGACGAACACTGAAGTTAGGCTAAAATTAAAAAAAAAAAAAAAAAAAAAAAAAAAAAAAAGGGGCGGGGAACGACACCGCAGAATGATACAGCAACTACACCCTGCTCGGGAGCATTAAGAGAGCTTTCAGTTTACAAAACGCAGATAATAGCCAGAAATGTCCTTTTCCTCCTCCTGCTGGAAGTAAACACGGTGGCTGGAGGCTCCGTCTCCCTCCCAGGAGGGCTGAGAGTTGCTCACATGAGCTGCTGCGTAGCAAGAAATCTCCCAAGTTCCAATAATCCCAGCACAAGGATCCCCTCCTGCCTCAGACACGTCTCACCAGCACCTGATCACCGGTAAACACCCTCCTGTGCTGATGTAAATAAATAATCATCAGCATAAAAGCCAGGGAAATGCTTGTTTTCTTTCCGAACCTGCCTGGTTTCCTCAGCACGCTGGAATTTATTCAAGGCCAGTACCTGCCTTCATTTTACAACTCTATTTTTTGCAGAAGCTCCTGGAGAAGCTACTACGGTTGTGTTAAAATTCATACATACGCAGGTATCATTCAAAACAGCACATTTTAGGGGAATTTCACACAAAATGCTATTAAATGAACACAAAAATCATCTTGCATTTCTGAGAATCTGAAAGCTACCAAAAAATATACCCAATGACAACAAAGATGAAAAAGAATTAGCCCAAATTCAAGGTATATTTTCCAGAGAGATCCAAACATGCTCCACCTCTAGCAGGAGAAGTTCTGTGGATGCTGTTCATTAATAATCATTATAATGATGATAAACATATAACAATATGATTATTATATTTATATTATTATTTTGCTAATAATCATTACAAAAAACAAGGATTACTTCAGGCTCCGCACTGAAACTGGTACATCTTGGTGTAGCTCACAGGTAAACTGGGGCAGAAATAGCTAAATTTTGTAACACCAGAAAATTATGTTTATCAGGTTTCCCTCTCCCCATCTCGTTCACCTCACCTTCCCCCCCACCCCAGACAACTAATTGCTGCTTCTGACAGTTGGCAAGATGGCACAAATGAAAAACAGAGTAAAATAAATAATAATATCATGTCACTATTACTGGCAGGCTGACTTCACAAGTTTTTTGTTTAGACGAGACTACTGCTCAGCACTCTGCACATGTAAGCACACCACGGCTTGGCTGCAAGAGAGCAAGGATTTGAAATATAGGACAGAAAAACCAGGATGACTGCTTCAGAATTTACCAACTCTGCTGATTTTCTACGTAATTGCACAATTTATGTTCCCTAATAGGACCTGCTCCTTCCACAAGACACATTCAGAGGAGTGTTTGTAAAATCAGGGCTTACAAGTGGTGTTATAAATGCCCTCAACCATTTGTTTCTCTATTTCCTTCGTTCATATTTTAGTAAGAAGTTTCTATCACAGTAAGAATTAGGTGGGGGGAACACTTACCATGGGCTCATTAATACTTCATAATTATGAAAAACTAATTTTCAGGTAACAGTACATTGAAATTCAGCCCACTGAGAGACAGAGTAGGACCATCTCTCCTCATCCAAATTACTTCCCGTAAGTCAAAAACCACTGTCAAAAGAAAACTTCAATGCCCATATTGACCACAATTATTTAAAACAGCAATATTATTGCAATTATCGCCTTTGTTTGTCCTGCCAATTAAATCAGTTTTATGTAAGAAACCTGGATTTTCAGCTTGACTGCTTTATTACCATCATGAATATTTCTGCCACGCAGACGTCACTATTTCAGGCATTTCCAAACTTACGTTTGGGAACAAGCACAACACGGGGACATTTAAATTCCTTCCAGAGCTCAAAAAAGTTCATGAAAATTCCTAAATCAGGACCCAGTGCAAGTGTTAAATTCCCAGGTCAGGAATCTACGGAAGGATGAAATCTCTGACCTTGGTAAGGGTAAAATTCAGCACAAACAACTCCCATTTCCAGCTTCGCTGTTAGACAACAACACTACGTCTGCTGGCTGAGGTGCAGCATCCTGAGGGACTGGAAAAGGACAGGGGATTTTTCACTGCATTTGCAAGAAATCCAAAGCCTAAAGAAAAATATTGTTTATGCTGAAATTCATGACAAAGAATTGCAACCCCATTAATTCCATCTCCAGCCATTTAGAAACCCACGAGTCGGGATCCAAAATTATCATCAAACTGACTTGAAAGAACAGCTGGGGAGAGGCTGCTTATTTTTTAAACTTTGAATTTCAGCATTCCTGTTTGCAAGTGCTCTAACCCTTTATGTGACAGTATTTTCAAGCTCTTATTCTGGTGCTGCCAATAATCCCAGGAGCAAGATGTCTATGGAAAAACACCGTGCAAATATGGCATGAACTACAGCCAGTCATGCTATACACGAGGTCAGAAACACGTAACTGTGTTTTTATTTATAAATACAAAAGAAATATAGTAAACATGTGATTACAGCAATTAAAATCTAACTTGGATTAAAGAAATCCTCTTAATTTTAACAATACAACAGACTTATACAGCATAAACAATCGTATTTTTAAAGTAAGTTCAGAATTTCCCTTTTTATTAAAACTGACAAAATGTTTTACAACTTCCTACTGCAAAACCAATACAAACAGTAATTTAAATATTTCCTTTTCAGTTGCATTTTGAATACTTACGAAGACTAAAACATCAACCTTTCTGCCACCGAAACTGACAAGGCATAAGACCCTACTATGACACTTTTTGTGTACTTTAGAGAAAAACGGGGACTGTTTCTCTAAAAAGTGGAGAGAACTGGCACAATACCTATTTTTCATAGCCCTTTTTTTCATTTATGTTGTATTTGTCACCAAAACAACTCAGTGGAACACAGTGTGCAGCACACATTGTGCCTTGTCATGAGCTGCCAGCAAATCAAGAGAAGGTGAACCAAATTACAAAACAAAAGTATTTTTTTTTTCCCCCCCTTTCTCGCCACCTGACAAGATAAATGATCTCAGTTATATTAAAGAGAAATAGGATAGGGGATCCAAAGGGCTCGTTTTACGTTAACTGCATCTCACCAACAAAAATAGAGAAAGCAATTTCCTGATGCATCAATTCCATGCCAGCACTTCCACGTACATTCTGAATTCTGAGGCGCTGGCACGCTGTGCACCTCCAGGTATCCTCACACCTCCACTGCTCCCCAGCCATTTCCTCCATTAAGGCAGGGCTCTTCCCCCCCCCAAAAAAATACAAAGATAACACGGATATGCCAGCACGAACCACCCCGGCTGAATAAACATCTTTCTGTAGGTAACACCGTGTCGAATTACTCCTGTAACCAACACAAAGCACCAGCTCCCTCTCTCAGGACGTGTGTCACCACCCCAGCTCTTTCACCACGACAGTGTCTCCCACTCCTTTCTGGAATTTCTTGTTATTTTCAGGCCAGATTTCCTTCCTCACCCACAGTGGTCAATATCTGGAAGTTCTCATCATTTCAGATTGCAAAAAATTGTACTGAAAAAGTCAAGATGGTAGAGAAGCTGAAGAATGTGAAATATCATAAACTATTCCTGATCCTTTTTCCGGACTAGAGCAGCACAAAACTGCAAACCTCATCTTTCTATCCTCCTTCTCATGTTCTGTATTTATAGGGTATCAAAAACCTCCTCCTACTAAGCAAAGACTCGTTTCTAGTGCAACACCAAAGCAGTTTTAAATATCTGTGTATAGTCCTCACCATTATAAAACCCTCTCTTCCTCTTCTCAACCCAGCCTCGTTGATCTGCTGTTATTTAACTCTTGAAGGCTACTTGAGACTCACCACGTTACTAAAGGTTATGTAACTCTTAAAAATACACTGAATTTTACATTTTTAAGCTGTACAATAGAAACATACACAACAAAACACACAGCTGATGAGTTTTTTCCCACCCCTCCTCCACGTACTCTAAACCAAAACATCTCAGGGATCTAGAATAGTAAATTTCCTTTTTTTTTTTTTTCCAGCTTGTCGGCCACAAAATCCAGTGCAGAAAGCAGTCTAATGAGTTATAAGCCTACAGAAAACACAACGTCCTTTCCTTTGTGGCTTCCCACTGACCCTGAGTTGTCCACTGCCTGCAAAGCCGAAAGCTGCTGATCTAGAACCGAGTATCCTCTTACTGTTTGCTCTGCCACCCGAGAAGTTGCATTAAAATGGCATCACGTTCCTTAACTCCAAACTGACTTTGCCTTTCTCCATATAACCTACTAACAATCCGTGCTCCAGAGCCTTCCATAAAACCCTATTCCCGGGAACAACCACCCAAAACCAAAACACCATCAGGTTAAGACGCCTCGTTTTGCCACGGATTCGAAAGCGGAGCAAGTCCTTCAGACGGAACACTGCCCAACCCACCTATAAATAGGCTCAAAGCTCCGGGCTCAGGAGACTGAGAGCTCCACATGATCCTTGCAGCGTTCCCCGGCTTCACCTACATAAGAGCCGTGCCGTAACACTGCCGGGCTGGGCAGACACCGAGCTGCTGCTGTGGCTTACGCAGGAGAGCACGGAGGGAGGGGAAAGAAATTTAAAAAAAAAAAAAAAAAAAAAGAAAAAAAAAAATCACTGGGCATAAACAGCTCTCCTCGGGAGAGAAACACCTCCCTCTCCGGAGGCCAGAGCCAGCCACGGACAGGCTGTCACGGCTCGGCCATGATGGGAACAGCAGCCAGGGACAGGCCCTTCGGAGGAGGTTTAATGGAGCCAGGGCCGAATGGAGGCTCATGGTGAGCAAGGGCCTGGGGGCAATGCCAAGAGGGTCCAGGCCACATTCCCTGGGCAGGGGGGATTCAGGCTCCATGGGCAGGTAGCCAGAGTCAGGCCCAGTCAGACTCCTCTGGGCTGGGGGGCTTCAGGCTCTTCCTAAGCTGACAGCCAGTTCTGTTCCCCATGGACACGACAACTGCAGACCCTCCTGTTCCCCATCAGACCCCATGGACAGGAGAGCTGCAGATCCCCCTGTTCCCCATCAGACCCCACAGACAGGAGAGCTGCAGACCCTCCTGTTCCCATTCAGACTCCCCCCTGGACAGGAGGCTCCCCAGTGTCACCCCATCAGATCCTATAGGAAGGATGCCTCCAGGTCCCCATCAGACACCCTCACTCCCCAGGACAGGGGAACTCCAGATCCCTGTGGTCCACATCAGACCCCCAAGGACAGGAGAGATCCAGACTCCCGTGATCCACATCAGACCTCCATGGACAGCAGAGCTCCAGATCCCCCTGTGGTCCCTGTCAGACCCTCAAGAACAGCAGAGCTCCAGACCCCCCCACGGTCCCCGTCAGACCCCCAAGGACAGCAGAGCTCCGGACCCCACGGTCCCCGTCAGACGCGCCGGCCCCAGGGCCACGTGACCGGCCCGAGGCACCGGCACGTGGCCCCGACCGTAACAAACAGGCGGGTGGGCGACGGGGGGCGATGGAGGGGGGGCCGAGCTGCGCTGCGATTGGTCGGGAGGGCGCGGAGCGCGCCGGGGGGGGCGTGTCCCCGCCGCGCCGCCCCGGCGATTGGCCGGCGGGGGGGCGCGGTGGGCGGGCGAGCTCCCCCCTCCCGCCCCGCCGCCTTGGTGCAGTGCTGAGGAGGCGCCAGGCGGGGGCCGCGCGCGCTTTTCCCGCCCTCGGCGGGGCCGCGGGACCCCCCTGAGGGCGCCGCTCCCTCACACCCGCCATGGCGGAACCGCCGTCACCCCCGCACCGCTCGCGGCACCCGGAGCTGCGCCACTCAGCAGCCGGCGGCTGCCAAGTCTTGTCCCCGCACCCCACTTCACTCTCAGCCCCGGCAGCGCCGCCCGCCGCGAGTGCGCGGAGTGCGAGACCGCTCTGACGCTTCCCCACACGACCAGCGCTTCAGCCCCTTTCCATGCACGCACCCACCTGTGGGGCGCCCTCGGCCGCCTCCATCATCGCCCCGCTTAAAGCACTTAAATATCCCCGCGGCGCCACCGCCTGTGTCACGGACCGGGGCTGTGAACGGCAGTGCGGCCCTCCCCGCCTCCCCCCACCTGCCGCGCCACGTTCCCCCCGCCCCCGACCCGCCGTGTCCTACCGGGGGTGCGGGGAAAGGGACGTTCCGCTCTCCCTCCCCGGGGGAAGCAGCGCGATGCCGGCGCTCTCTCAGGTGCGCGGGGGCTCCGCGGGTGCGGAGCGAGGAAAGCGGCGGGGAGGGGGCGGCAGGAGCCGGGATGGAACCGGGATGGAGCGAACCTCCCTCCCCCCCAGTTCCCCGTCCGCCCCCCCCCCCGCCGCTTGTGTTTACCTCAAGTTTGAATTTTATCTGCGCAACATGAGCTGGAATGCGGACATGGAGGGCGGGAGGGCGCGCACACGCCCGGCGCTCCGCGGGGGACACCGCGGACACCCCGCACGCACACACCCCGCAACCCCTCCGCGCACACACCGCGCCCGCGCCCCGCGCCCCCCGCCCCGGTCCCGCCGGTAACTTACCTCCGCCACCGGCTCGCCTCCTTCTCCTCCTCCTTCTCCTCCTCCCCGGGGGAAGGTGCCGCCCGCAGCCCCATCAGCGGGGCGGACACCGCGCTCCCGGCGCGCCGAGACAGGTGCAGCCGGGGCGGGCGGGTCGGGGGGCACCGCCACCTCCCCGACGCCTCCCCGGGCTCCCCCACTGCTTCCCTCCGTCCCTCCCCACGATGTTGTTTCGTTATATCATGTCCATCATGTGACACCCGGAGGCCTCTCTATGGAAACTTAAAGGGGACTTTCACGTCCGCCGCCGCCGGACCCGCCGGTACCCCCGGGGGGCTGCGAGCCCCGGCGGTGCTCGCTTGCCCTCCCTCCGGTACCTCCCTTCCCTCCCCGGGGGGCTGCGCTCCCTGCTCCTACCGCCCTCTGCTTAAAGCAAGTAGCTGCGCTTTCTTTTTCTATTATCATTTATTAGGGGTTGGTTTGGCGTTTGGATTTTAGTGGGTTGTTTTTTTTTTTTTTTCTTTTTCCCCTTCTCTTTCGCAGAAAGGAATAACCGGGGAATAACCGGCCGGGCAGGCACAATGCGGAAGGATGGACCCCGCTCCTGGAGGCTGCGGGATCCGGTGCTCGTCTACGGCCGCGGCGGGTCTCCGGTGCTGGAAGAGGCAGAAAAACAACAACAACAACAACAAAATCCAAAACAACCAAAAGAAAAATAAAAATAAAAGAAATAAGGAGGAAAAACCCCTTGTTTGTGTCGGACTGAGGAGGAGCAGATGTGAGCGGTTCTGCCCGTGCGGGGTCGATGCGGTGGTCGCCACCGCCGCGTTTAACTCCGCCAGTCGGTAGCGAAGCAATTTCACCGTCCCGACCCGTCGCACCGCCGGCTCCCGACAGCCGGCTCTGTGCCGAGCTGCTGGAAGGAGCCGCTCCTAGGGATGTGCGCTGGCCACTGCAACACTACCAGCAAGCAGCCAGCCCTCACAGAACGGCGAAGGGAAGATGCCGACAATTCCTTGCGGTTCGGGCAGCCTCTGGTTCCCCGCTCATCCCGCTGCCGGGCTGCAGCCGCCGGGGGTGCGGGGCCGGACGGCGGCAGCGCCGCGTTCCTCCGGCTGCTGTTCCGCCTGCGGTGCTGAAGTGGGTTTTATTCCCTGCTCTCCACCAGCCCCCAGGATTTGGGATCTGGGAGCTGAAGCCCACCCGCTCCACGGTCCCACCGCCGGGCTGACAATGCGCAGGGGGCTCTCCGGGTTTTCCCTCTGGGAGGTTCCTGTGGGAGGCCCCCAAATTCTGCTCCCAAAGTGGTGGCATCATGTCAGTGTTGGTGATCAAGTGCAAGGCTTTACAGGCTAGATTGAGAAGGGAGACATAGATTTGTTGTTAAAAACTGAAGGAGGAAAAGCAATCCTGCATTCACTCCTTCCTTACAGCTTCCAGCAGCCCCTCAGCAGGTGAAAAAAACCACCATCCACAGATGCAGTAAATTTCAAGTTGGGGATTTAATTTCTTCAGTGTCCCACCGCGTTTTCTTGAAGGGAGTCATAAAAACGACTTTTTTCTAACTGCTGGCTTGGTGCTGATGGCTGTCAGCCACGGGAGGGGACCAGAGCCACCCAGCCACCCAGCACAGGCCCAATCCTGCAGTGAAGGTGGATCATCTCCCTCTCTCCCATTTGTGCTTTGAACTTGAATTCCTGTTCTCTGCCCCACTCATTTCCAGTGCCCATGCCATGAGCTGTATATCTAACAGATCAGTGTTTCAGATATCTCTACTATTATTTTTTTTTTTTTAGTTTTGTAAAAATTACTAATGATTTTAGCTGAAAAGAGTTAACGAAGTGAGGAGCAGTTCATCCTCCTTTCCTTATTTCTTCTCAGAGTCTTCCCTTCGTCCACCCTCCATACTGTTTATGTTTATCTCTCCTTCCCATCCAATTTTGGGGGAATTTCTTCTCTGGGCTCCTTGCTGCCATTTATGCAGACTGTCCCACTGCTGTGGGGCCTAACTACAATTTCCCTTGCTTCCCATATCTCCGGGCCTCATTTCCCTGCCTCGCTAAACCTCTTTTTATTCTGTATTCCCTTCTTCAGATCATGCTTAAAGGAGGAAGAGGCTGGAGCTGGGATTTAAAGTAGTCTTTTAGGAGTACTGCCAGAGCTGATCTGTTTTACTCTGCTGCTGCTGCTGTTGCTGTTCTGCTGTGTCATGGGAAGAGTTTCCTCTCCACACCAACCCCTGGAAGCGGCACCTCGGGCAGAGCCGCTCGCTGCAAACCCCGGCCATGTTTTACAAAGCCCCGGGTAAGTTTGTCCGGTGCAGGATTGACACTGGAAGGGGAAGGCACTGCTGCCTTCCCGGGCTCTGACCTGGAGAGCTGCGCACGATTTTGGGAGATTTGCAGGAGGCAGAGTGGCGGCAGCAGCAGTGACAGCGCATCATCGCTCAGCTTTATTTCATTTTCTCGAGCCAAGACGCTTTAGGTTACAGCCCAGCAGAAAAGGAAAATGAAGCATTTCTGTCAAAAGAGAGCTATTTCCCAAATTTGCTTTAAATTATTGCAAGATCTTGCACTAAAAAAGAGCAGAGATTCTGTCGCCTCTTAAAAAATGTTGTTAGTTATAAAATCTTTACAATCTTGGCTCTCTCCCCCTCAGCCTGTCTCCTTCAAAAACTTGCTTTCAAAAATGTGAAGTTTAAAGATGACTCTTCTCTCTCTCTCTGTCCCCTCTCCTAAATTTATGTTCCTTGGACAGGCCTGAAGAAGCCTGAGGCTGCATCTGCCCATGAATAAACACCGGCATGCACATACACGTGCATATCCATGCACACACACAGGATTTAAAGCGTCCCATTGAAGCCCACATATAGGAAAATCCTTGATCATGTGATAGGCTTTAATATCTGCCTTAAAATTAATCCCTAACTGATGGACTCTGTGTGGTGGCAGATCACAGGAGGCTCAGTAGCTGGGGCTCCTGTGCAGGTTTTAAAAAACTGCCAGACGAAATCCCCCGTTTGCTGTTGTATTAATTTGTTTGTTCACAGCAGCTACCTGGGAAATGCTCATCTAGTGAAACAAAGTAAGAAAACTTTATAGGGCTCTGATCTTGTTTTTCCACAGTTAAAAGGAAAGACCTTGTCATGAGGTCAGGACAGGAGCTGATGTTATTACACAAGGAAAAGGCTGAAGTTGGCTGCACAATTCTTCAGGTGCCCTGTTGGAGATAACACTCCTGAATTTTATCGGAGCGTGAGTTTTGAAGGTGGTCCTGCTTAATTCTCAGAGTTGTCTTTGCTTCTTTTTTATTCATTTTTGTTGTTGACACTGAGTTTTCTTGTTTCACTTCTCTTTCCTATTCATTTCACTCTTTAGTTCCCACGTGTTAGAAAGTGCACTTTCATTTTAGACTCTTGAGAGAAGAAAGTCTGATTCCAGAGAGCAATTTGCAGCAATATATTTTCCTTGCCACTCACACAAAAACATCACTACTCCAACAGATATAGGTATAAACAATGCTGACAGGCCCTCAAAACCAAAATCAGTTTGTGAAATTGAGGCAAATAGCCCAGAGAACCCGAAATGTTCTGGTTTCTAAAATGCTGTCTGCTGTCAAAAATGGGGTAAAATAAAGCTTTGTTTACGTGTAGAGCAGAGTGTTTGTTGATCGAGTTTCTAAGGTGATGTAGCAGGAAATGCTGTTCTTGGGGAAAATGACATGAACAAAGCATGAAACCATAATTCAGCAGCTATTTGTCAACTGATAGCAGAAGAAAAAAAAGCACATTTGTAAAGCAGTGAGAGGTTTTCACTGAACTTTTTCTCTCCTTTGCTGGCATATATGAAGGCAGCTTCTCACCTGCTCTGCTCCTGGATATAACTACTTGCAAGAGCACAGCTAAATCATTTATCAGAAGGGATGTTTCCATCAAATCCAAATATCTACGCTGGCTGCTGTTTCTACGTCATGTCACGGATGAGATTGATGCTCAAGCAAGGTTATAATGTACCTGCATTTTCTCCAGATTGGTGCCAAGCTTGCTGAGTCATTTTCCCTGTTCCCATTCTGCAGCCGGCTGCTCGCTCGCTATTCCCTGTTATTTGTGTGGGTCGTAAGCTCAGCAACAGATGAGAATAAATGCTAATATTTCTTTAGGCTGCCTCCCTAAGGAAATAAAGGTTCTGCTGCGCTGCTTTTCTGTGCAGGTACGTGTCCATCCCCCTCTCCCAAAAGCTTCTGAACCCATTAATGAATTCCAGATGAATTTGGGAGGAAATAGATACTTCAAACTCGGTTATATTTCTGCGAGGTGCACACGGGCAGGAGGGAGAGACTCGGATCAGGAACTGAAGCAGAATTCAGCCCTAACGCCTCCAGGCTGGCATCCACCTTGAGTCCACCAACCCACCCCTGGCAGGCAATTAATCTCTGTGAAGTGACTCTGAGCCACAGCGCTGCCCTAGCCTGCCTGGTACAGTTTTCTCTGGCTGGCAAGATATCAAGGAGAAGCAGAGCAACTGGGCTAACTCAGGGAATGAGCTGTTTTCGAGGCGAAATAATAGAGGAATTTAAGGGGTACCACTATAAGCAACGGAAAAGTTAATACCTGGGAATGGCTGTACATTGTTTGTGGGAATGATTTAGCTTTTGTGTCAGTCCCAAAACAAACCATGGCAGAGGAGCAGGTCGGGCTGTTCCTAGAGCCAGCACAGCTGTCAGTCTGGTGCGTGTTGCTCTTGGCACTAAAGCTAAAGGCCAAGATCCCCCACCTGCACCTTTTCCAGACGTGGATGCGTTTTCTCTGCAATGCCAGCATCAGGTGAAGAGCAGCCTCAACCACACGCTTTAGGCTACTGCATCTGACAGCCCCACTCTCCCATCTTCCTTTCTGGCATAGCCTGGCTGCAGCTGAGGCTCAGAATTGGTTTATGTTTGAGAAGAGCCGAGCCTGGGGTGTCTCCTCAAGGGTGGTGCTGGGTCTCTGTCTTGGGGGGAGCCCTCCCGGCTGCCTAACGGAGATGGGAGAGCTCCAGCCCCGCATCTCCACCTAAGGGAATGCTGGTCAGGTTAGGACTGCAGACAGGATCAGATCCATTCCCACCTGAGAGCAAAGGATTAATTTATGTGTCCTTTCTCCACCAGCTGATCTCGCTGGGAGCAGCCACCGGAGGGGGGACACCCTGATGCTGCACGTACCATACGCGCTCATCTCCATTGCAATTAGTTTGATGCAACAAACAGCTCCAGCATGACAAACTCCAGGCTAAAAAAAGCCAGGACTTCATCTGCATAAACTGGATGCACCAAGTATGTATTGTGTGTCACCTCCCTTATGTCCCACATTTGTTCCTGCAGCAAATGGCATATGCTCCAGCAATACCACGTGGTCCAACCGGACTCCTGGAAATACAGCAGGGATCTGATGCTGGTAGTCTTTGAAATTAAGACATCAGTTGTGATTCTTCTTATGGACCTCTTCTGGAAGGAAGGTTTTTGCATTTAAATTAAGATTCATTATCCTCTGATGAATAATCTATAAAATTGGAGCCAGCCTCCGCATCGATGACCAAGTTATTATTTTTGGTTTAGCTGTTAGACACCAGCTGAGACCAGGGGCCTCGTTCTCCTGGCCACTGTGTAGTCACACCCAAGGAGATAACCTCTGCCTTGAAGAGCTTACCAAGCAGAACAACAAAAGAGTGAGCAATGTAACACTCAGGCAGAGCAAACA